AGAGAAAAGGAAAGGATTTTAAAACAACATTATTTATTTCCACATCTTCTGCAGGCTTCACACAGTTTTTCCCACCAGTTATTTAGAAAGAAAAACAGCTGTCTCTTTTATCCCCGGCCTGCATGGGAACAGCATGAAAGGAGATTTCTGTTTGCTGACTCAACAATTTTGCCTTGTGTGTCAGCAAGATATTAAGCAAAGAATCAAAGGAGTTTCAAGTTTAACCACTCAGTCCCAGGGAAATAGGTTCCAGTGTGCGGTCTCAATTCCATCAGGAAATATCATTTCCAAAACTCAGGAGCCCCTCTTTACTCCCAGCACAAATATTTAAAGTTATAACCCTAAACGTACCTGGGCCCCGTTCACACGGAGCATTTGCCACATTAAAGATACGGATGATAGGCGGATTTTCCGGGTGCGATCACACTGCAACATCTGGGAAGTGTAGTGCACCCGTGGCTAACCCGTGGCTTCGTGCCGAAGATACGGAGTAAAAAACTAGTACTTACGATGTACTAGTTTCCGGAAAATGCGGGGCAAGGGTGGGCATCTGATCGCGTCCTGTCCTAGTCCCGTTGCAAACTGGTTTTTTAAAAAACTCTTCACAGGATGCGCACAAACGATCATGCGCATGCTCACCTTTTGGTGAGAAAAAAAATATTCCCGTTTGCCACAGAAGCGGCACCTAGCGATTGCTGGTGTGATCACGCCGCACCGCTTCTTTGCCGCGCTGCAGGATAGCCATGTGATCGGCACCTCACGCCCTAACCACAGGACCTCTACGGGACGTGTGATCGGGCGTCCATGCGTTATTTTGCTCCGGGGCAAACAGCCATGCTTCCCCCCCCGCATTTTCCGGCCCATGTGACTGGGGCCTTAGTAGGAAGTAAGGTTGCTGGGACTGGACTTAGAAGGATATAACTCTACTTAGGGCTCCAGGATAAACACAGTATGAATTACATCCTAGTAATACTTTAGGATTACACTATCAGGATATAAAATGTTGACTCCATACATCCTCAATAAAATGCAATACAGAATCTCAGTATTACCCTTGATTTCAGCCAAAAAGCTGAGAAGCACTGGTAACAAGAGCTTCCACACAGAAGTTTTCTGCGCACTTTCCTCCGTCAGCCAGAATTTTCCCTAAATTTTCGCAAGTCACACCATTGTAAGAATTTGTTTTTAAAAATTAAAAAATGGTGTAACACTGTAGTGTTATAGCAGTTACCTTTTTAAAAAAAAAGATAGAAGGAACTCTTTAAAAACCTTCTGGTAGAACAGCAGGGAAAACTGCAGCTGTAAGGGGTTGATTCAAAGGAAAGTGGCACCGCTGTGGATGTTACCAACTTCAAGGTGGGGCCTGGAGTTCTCCTGGAATTAAAATTTATCTCCGGACTACAGAGACCAGTTCCCCTGAGGGAAATGCCAGCTTTGGATGGCAAACACAATGGCATCCCATCCCCACTGAGCTTTCCCAAACTCCACCCTCTCCAGGCACTGCCCCCAAACTATGTGGGCAGGATCTCTTAAAATGCACACCTTCCCATCCAGACGATGTGGTAAGGCACCTGGACTCTGTTCTTCCCAAAAAAGTTTGCAACAAAGCAGATTTGGGTAAGAGTGTTCCAAGGACCCGGAAAGGATGATCAGAGAGCACAGTGCCATGCGGATACTATTTTTAAAAAGTGCTCCAGGTTTGGGTGCCAAAGCAGAAAAAAAAAACATGGGGAGGTAGCCCTGATGTCCAAGAATCTGAAGCACCATTCCCGGCCAATATGTGCGCATAATTATTACTGTTTCTGTTACTAATCAGGATTATTTCTGTTTATGTTATTCTGCCAGTGTATATAGCCCAGGGGAGCTAAGTATTACCTAATCACTGAATTATATTAACATAAAAACTATTATACTAACATAAAACTGCCAATAATAATTCTGTCTTAGTGAAAACACTGGTGAAGCCTCCAACTATTTGTTTGCCATGACTGGACACAGCGAGCACCAGGCAGCTAATTCTATGGGTGTTTCCTGTGACATAGAATTTCCAGTGGGGCCCAATCACCTGCTTGAATCACCATTTAGTTCAGGTAAGTCACAAACCAGAGATTAAGGTCAATGTTGTATGTTAATCAGATAGCAGGAAGATCATTAGGATCTAACTGACAGTTCAGTGACAGCTACATGTCAGCAGGTGGACTGATAAGCCTGTTCTAACCGGTTATGGCTGGCACTGGACAGTGTGCAGTCATCATGACTCAGCTTGTTGCTGATTGGTGCTACTGTGTATATAAGTCTGTACAGAAGCCATGTACGCTCTCTTCGGAGGTAACAAGTGTCTGGCGAAGCATTTTGTCTGTGTATTCTGTGAATAAACCCTTGTATATAGTGTACCACTGGACTGTGCAGTGTGGTTACTATAGAGGGACAGAACAGCAAAGAACTGGTAAGAGCTGGGAGGCTGGAAAGTCTGCTAAGGTGCTGTCTTGGCTTAGACTGGTCTGGGGACCACTACACACGCTCTGCGCAACAGTCAAAGCAGTTCCTGTCAAACACCCTAATAATGTGAAACTTCAAAAACTCAACGTCTGAATCACCTGCCACTGGAGCCCATACAAACTGTGGACCTGCAAACTGTGTTGCCTCTCCTCCTGATGGTATTGCTCTCAGCTTCACTGACATGTGCAAAGGCTCTGACCACTGTTTGGAGGCCACTGGTTTTCAGGGCCGCCATAAGTTGGAAGAGACTTGCTGGCACATAACCCACTCACAAAATGACCTCTCTCTGTGGAATATTCTACCCTATGCTTTGAGTATGATTTTAATGCAGTATTGTGCTCAGTCCCGTTTACTTCCAGCACAATACTAAGCAACTCTCCTAAGGGCTGCGCTGCTCATCTCGCTTTCTTTTCTTGTCATCAAGGAAAGATCGCGGGGCCCTGCTCCCTGGCCTCATCAGGTTCCTGATCAAGCGGGTTTTTGCGTGTGTGTGTGTGTGTGTCAACCACAGGCTGCCGAAAGAACAAACCGAAGTCCCCACCTCCTTCAGCTGTCAGCCTGTCAAAACAAAGGCTCTGTTGCCAAGACCAGGCAAGGAAAAGAGGCGGCGGGGGGGTGGGGTGGAGAGAGGAGGAGCCGCAGCTGCAACTCCCCAATCCGATCTCTCGGCTCGCCTCCCCCCAGTAGCCCGGCTGGGCACACGGAGTGCTGGAATGGCTGTCTTGCGGCGCGGGGAGGGGGGGGAGCCGGGGGAGAGACTGTTTATTCTCCAAGGAGGCGAACCACACAGCAGGCGCCCCGGAGAGCTTTGTCTCCCCGCCAGCTCCCGTGTTTACACGACAAGCAGCTGCCGGCAGCATTGCACCGAGCAGATAATCTAGCAACGGCTGGCCTGTCCCGTCGGGCCTGCGCCCGGCCGCCTTCGGAGCAAGGCCAGCGTCGCGCGGCCTTCCTGCCTCTCGGGCAGCCTTCGCCGCCGCTCGCCAATTGGTCGCTTCTCCTGCTAGCTCGCGCGGCACCGCGTCCTTGAGCAAACCTTCGCTCGTCAAAACAACTCCTCTCCCAAGTCACACAAAGGAGGCGCGAGGCGCGCCGCGGCAGGAAGGGGAAAGGCCCGCAGAGCAGGCTGTTGGGAGGGAACAGGCCCGGGGTGGAGAGGGCCCTGCGGAGGGCGGCGGACTGGGAACTGGGTCACTCGGGAGGGACGGTGTGGGGCTCCCTCGGGGGAGAATATCACCGGCGAAGAAGAGTTGCTATGGGGATTAAAAGGACCAGGGCAACAGCGGAGAGGGGCGACTTGGAGGGACCACGTTGCCAAGAGCTGGAGGGACGGAGCTGAGCCCAAGTGCCCGGTGCGAGTGGGTGTGAGCGATGCGGGTTCTTGCGGAGAAAGCAAGAGAACTGGGGAAAGTGCTGCGTGGCAAAGCGATCACTTCATTTTGAGGAGCTCTGGAGACATGGCTTTCATGCCCGGGCTGAGCCACTTGAAAAACTGAGCATGTGCATTTCCTGTCCCAGCCTTCCCACACATATGTGAGACTCGAGGATCTAAAAAACAAACTATGGCCCTCCTTCTCAGACAAGGGGGATGTATCCAACCATCCCGGAGAAGGACTTCTCCACTTTCTCCTCCTCCTCCAGTAGTCTACTGAGTCGCCCCATTTTTTGTTCCTAGAGGTCTCCAGATCCACAGGACAAGCGCTGGGGGGAAAGTGGGAACATGCAGATACAGTTGGAGGGCACCTCCCCCTCCCAAAGACTGAAGTGCTATTAAGTCTGTTGAACTGCGTGGGTCGGATACATTCCAAACTGATTAATTTCCAAGCAGATACGATCCCTTGCTCTGTAACACATCACTTTTACTACTTGACTTCCTTAACTGATTGATCCAGAATATTCAGCATCCCGTTACTGCTAACATAAACCAGGTCCTCTATAGCGTAACAGTAGCATACATACAGTACAGTTCTAAACAGAGTTACACCCTTCTAAAGCCACTGACTTCAACGGATTTTAAAAGGTGCATCTCAGTTTAATAGGATCGCACTGCCAGCAACGGTGGTGGGAGGAAATCCACTTCGCATCCGCCCTGAGGGGTTAACAGGCGCCAAGGGGTAATTAACCCCCCATTCAGTGCTCTTGAAGGTGCCTACCAAGAATAAGGCAAAATGACAATCATGATAAAAGGAGACGGTAGGCAGCGATCTGCTTCGCTCATGGGAAAACCTGTTGCTAAGCTAACAAAGCGGGAAAGCAGGCAGGGGGGGAAGCAGGGTGGGCACACACACATCCCCCGCCCCCAAGCCCTCGCCGCTCCCTTGTAAAAGCTTCCCATTTGCTCCGCTTTCGACCCAAGTAGGGCGCAGCGTCCGCTCCGACTGAACCGCGAAAAAGCGCGAGCGGAGATTGAGGACGCCCCCTATCGGCAGCGACGAGGAGGGCGGTCGCTGCGGCGGCGGCTCCGTCCTGTTTCCCCCCCACCCCCCGGGCCGGGCGGGTACCTTGCAGGCGGAGTAGACGCCCAGCTTCTCGAGCTTCTTGGCGCGGGGCGCGGAGCGGAGCTGCGCCTTCTTGCCCGCGATGCGAGCCGAGCCGGGGCCTCCTCCTCCTCCTCCGCTACCGCCCGCGACGGCCGCAGGGCTCTCGGCAGTGGCGGCGGCGGCTGCCGCGATCACAGCTCGGGCGGATCCGCAAGCGGCCAGCCCTCCG